TATTATCAAGAATAAGATTTATTTTATCTTTGTGACCATCGTTTAGATTAGTAGATTTAAGTAAATTTTTTATTTCATTTAATGACTTTTTTATATCATTTAATGCACTATTATTAATAATGGCTTCTGTCATTTTTTGACAATAAACTTCAATACTAGATAAACAAGTTGAAGGAATATCGTATATGAGCTTTTACAAATATGAACTAAAAAATTACTTAAATTAATAGATTTCTTAATGTCATTTGTTTCATTATCATCTCATAATGTTGAAATAATTTGTTTGGCATCATTAAATTCTCCAATAAATTCAAAATACATCGCATTTAATGTTATTGAAGCAGGACTTGTTTTTTTTTGAAAATGTTCGTCCAATTGTTGAAGACATTGTTGAGCGATGTACGAATCAGAGCTGCCAACAGGCCACTTTTTTTCAGTCTGGCCTGGTCTGGGCAGGCCAGGCCAAAAAAAGCTACTCGGCCTGTTGCCTGTCCTGGCCTACAGGCTTATAATAAACTTAAAAACTGCAATCGATTGTTCTAACACAAATATATATCAAGTTGCATGCTTAGTGTGGGTGTGGAGTGTCGATGTGGGTGTGGGAGTGGGTGTGGGGTGTGAGGGTGGGTGTGGGTGTGCATGTTGTGCTTCTCTGACGACGTACCTACCGACGCTTAAACCCATACCCCCCCCCCCCCATCCACATCCACACCCACACTCACCCATGTCCACACCCCACACACCCACACCCGCCTATCAAGAAGATAGGCTATTTTTGAGCCTAATAGATAGGTGAATCAGCGTTGACCTCAAAAAATTCAATCATACTTTTTGAAGATATGGACATTATTGAATATGGTGGTTGTATTCCACATCTGAAAATATATATCTGATCAAAATTTCAGAGCTCTATCGCGTACTGGTGATGAGATATCGTCCAAATAGCTTACACAAGAGATTGATAAAAAATTTCTGATATTAACAAAACTCTATTTTGGGTGCTATCAGTCGAATGAGCGTATTTCAGTCAAAGTTCAACCTTTAAATCTAAAAATTTGGTTCTATACCTAAAAAATTTGCTCTACAAAATAGGATAACATTCATCAAAGTCTGAGACTATCGATTGAGCACGATCGGTCGTGGCTCTCGCGCAGTGACTCTTATGCAGCTTATCTACAACATGCACAATCACAACACGATGTTATACATACGTTAGACAACGATAGAATGGAACAGACATGTCGAAACCGAGAGCGACTAACGAAAGTTGCATCAGTCTTATTATATGTACTTAAACTTCTTTATTATTTTCTTTACATTGTCGGAAGAAAATTCAAATCGCTTATATTCAGCTTCATAAACAATAGGAAGCTGAGCTCTCTATGAGATTTTTCTGGCTACGGTCCTACTTACTACTGCTCATCTTTTCCTTTAGTTCCTTCAAGCAAAGGAAGACAGGGCCGATAAGTCGACCAGCAAGAAATATCATTGGTTGAATATTGTAAGAATGTCCTGTGATATTTTTTGATCTTACGCAAGCTGAAGTAATATTTTCATCTTCATATGAGAGGGTCCTAGCCGAGTGAATCTCTAGTTCGAGGTCAACCTGATGAGTATTGAGAATTTCTTCAGATTTATGGTAACTCATTTCTCGTTTCACATCGGCTAAAAATGAGTCAACAGACGCATTAATAGCATTGGAATCATTTGCATGATGACAAATCACTAGTTTCGTAATTTTTCCAGAACAAATATGATGACAATGTTTAAATACCTGCAGTTAGTATTTGGATACTTCGAAGTTCAGAATCGAATCGTCACCAGCTTCTTGGAGAGTTCACCGTTTCAAATTACGATCATGAACAGAGAGAACATGTTCTCGAGCTTCTTCAAATCTATCGTAGACAAAATTGTCTATAACTTGTTGATGAAGAATAGACTTGAATCGATGCTTTGTGGATTTTCATATATGTTTCTTTCTTCCAGTCGAGTCACAGGTATCGTAGTAATCGATGACTTTTTTCCTGTAGTCGAGAATGAAGTTCATTTTAATCGATGAGCTCTCAACATTTTTAGTCTTATCGAAATCTGGATCCATACTTACATCTCAACGGTCTGGTTCTCCATGTTCAGTAATTTGATCTGGTAAAAGTTTCGTGACTCTTGCAGCATCACTCATATTTTTGTTACATATAAGAGTAAAGAACGTGCTATTTGATGAAAAATGCTTCTCTCGAATAACGAGGATCACATCACAGCATGTATCCTTGATATCGCGTCATTCATTGTCATGACCCTCAAGAGAACGAAAAAGAATGTATGTAATGTGCATCCACTGTTTATCATTCATGGACTACTACCTCTGTGATGATGGTTGATATAATAGAAAAAAAACATTGGCTTATAGAAATAAGATAAAACCTGGAAATTTTACAGTAATTTGCTGATAATGTAATCACTTTATCACGAAATTTCTAGGTAACAGCACATACTCGTTTTCGAGATAATGGCAATAGAGAAGCAAAATCTTTCTTATCTGTTGGAACTTGAAAATTCAATATCTTAGCTCATAAGAATCATGGGTCTGAATCCTTTTAGGATTATTCTAGTCTAGAAGTCTCCTATGCGTGCTCAAACTATGGGCTCAAAAGTGGTTAATCACTTCTGGTATTTCTCTCATAAACATAACACAAACAAGTGTTATAGAACTAATTTCACCAGAAATAACATTCAGATATCTTGTATGAAAGTTTGACATAGAAAAACTCAAATTTCTCGACGGAACTGATTCCATCAGTTATCGATCTCCTTCTTGTTAATATGCTTGAAATTACTCTGTCAAGTTTAATGTCAACCTATCGAATCAAATGCACCAGATGTTTGATTTCTCATATAATGATAATAAAAAAGCAGTATGCTTCGTTGCACATTCTCATTTTTTTTTCCTTTTCTTTCATGGTAATTTCAAAAGGAAAAAAAACAGCAGTCATTATATTTATTGATGTATTTTTTACTAATACAGTCATGCCTCTACATATAACAAGATAGACATTTATATACAAAGATCATCTTATTAAAAAGTATTGTTCAAGTAAATGAATACAAAAAGAACATAATAATAAAGAAGAAATATTATAGGAATGTTTGATTTCATTAAAGGATTTTTTTCATTTATTTTTATTATTATGGCAACTATTATTCTTGGACCCATTTTCAGCACATCTTATTATTATTTAATTAACGTTGATGCTACCTCTACAAGTGTAACATCATGTCGTTTAATTATTACTATTAGCGTAGGATTAATAGATTCAGTTGTATATGGTATTGGTTTATATTTATCAATTCAAACAATTAATGAATTTCATAATCAACAAATATTTTCTAGTAAAGAAATAATTCATTATCATAAACATTTTCAATCAATAATAACACATGAAAAACATTTATTACAATCGATTAATCAAGTTACAGATCTATTAATTGAAAATCAAATGAATTTACATGATGTAATGAAGGATTTAATTATAGATAATCAGAATCATACAGATTCAATATTAATACAAAATATCAGAAATAAATTAGAAATATTGAAATTTATTGAAAAAGATGGTTTAATGACAATAAAAGAAAATATTAATGAAAGTCTTCAATTATTAAAATTCAATTTATCAATTAATAAAAATCATCAACAATTACATGAAACTTATTTCAATGATATAGTATTATTAAATTCTTATCTATTCAATCGAATTTATTTATTTATTTTTACATTTTCTTTTCTTCTATATATTCATCAAATTTTATTATGGTTTTTTCAATATTTAACTTTAAACAATCCTGATAAATATTTTTCATATTCATTTATTCTATCTATTATTATTTTAAGTCAATCATTAGGATTGATTTATTTTATTGAAATAACAAAAACATTTAGTTATCTTTCACTATTATATATTTATGCATGTATTTTTTTTATTCGAAGTTTTATAACACTTGTCAGTATTCTTTGGGCCTCATAAATAATATATTTATTGAAGCAACATATTGATATAATATAGGCGATCAACTATTGATCACCTAATTGAATTTTCTTTATTTAAACTTTTTATAGTTTAAAAAGAAAAATTCGTGTTTCCATTATTGTTATTATATATGTATGCACTCATTACAAGCAACTACTGAACATGGTGTTATTATTTTCTCTCTATTTAGAGAATATATGTTTTCAAGCCAAATGATGATATTGGTATTATGCATGTTATATGCATATGGTACGGTGGTCAACATTGGATATGGTATGGTGGTTAACATCGGTTATAGTTTGGTGACCAATATTGGTTATGGTATGGTGGTCAATATCGGTTAAGGTGGTTTATGATATAATGTTCAACAGCAGCTATCGTAATAATAATATGATGGTCATCGACAACACTTATTATATAATGATATGATGAAATATTTTTGTCATCCATTTTGGTTCAACCTTCTGATGATGGTCGTATAAATATGGCCGAAAATTCAACACAAGGTTAAATTAAAAATTTTAAAAAATTAAAATAAAAAACAAATAAAAAAGAAAAACAAAAAAATTTTATTATTTTATTAGTATTTTTTTCTATGTTTTATTATTAATGTCATGTACTCATTCAACATGATATATAAATTAGAAAGATTTTTTTTTTCTTTTTAAACCATAAAAAGTTTAAATAAAGAAAATTCAATTAGCTGATCAATAGTTGATCGCCTATATTATATCACTACGTTGCTTTAATAAATACATTATTTATGAATTTTGATTAAAAAATCCATGTTTTCATTATTCTTTTCTATTTATTAATCGTGAATACAGTTGTACATCTTCATGAAAAGAAACAATATATAATTTTGAACTTTAGATTTTTCCTATTCTGTTTGAATAAAAACATTATATGGATCCACTCAGTCAAATGGTTGGCTATCTTCTGATCGGTATTCCATCGCAGTATATTAATAGTTGTTCTCTGACCAGTAGCCGACTGCCGATGTATTGGCGGTAGTACGAGCAAATCTGTGACGTGGGATTCTATGAGTCGAATATAATCATTTACTTGATGCAATTGAAGTTTATTAAAGAATGTCTCGATAGTACACCGTGAAAAACAAAAACGCAATGAATAATCGAAAAAAAAATAAGAGAATGAATGACTGTAGAGTCTATTGTGAATGTAATCAATCATTAAGAAGTTGTTAGCCAGAGATCAGTATTATCTTATCGCGTGTATAATGTTTTTAATATTTCAAGCAACAAGAAAGCCGAAAAAGAAAGATTTCACTAGAGAATACCAGAGAGAATATACATGATCTATAGAGCAAAACAAGAATATATCTAAACATTAGTCATCTGCATCGCGGTCACAGTCGTGACCAAAAAAAGAAGAAAAGTTTTTCACAATAGTCTTCCATAACGAAACTAGAAGAATAACTTGAAAATCTTTTTTTTCTTGTCACAACCGTAACCGTCATGCAGATCTCCAATAAGCATATTAGAGAAGAAAAATATATTAGGGATGTGCAGTTTTAGTTTACTGACCACTAATGCCATTGGCTCAATCTAGTTAGGACATATAGGCACCAGGGTTCACCAAACCATTCAGAATGCATCGCTACAAAAAGAGCATATTTTCATAGAGTTGGCGTCTAAATGTTGCAGCGAACAAAGATATCAATGTAGTAAATGCTTCAGAGAATGCCTATACAAGTGTAATTAGTGTCTCCGTGGATCGTGTACCGATGACCCACTGTCAAGTAATTACACCAACACTATACATTCTCAGAACGTAAATGCATTCGCGCATGATAGCATAACGAAAGAAGATATAGATAGAATACATATATATGATGACATTACAGTAATGATAAAAATAATTTGCAAATCTTTTTTGAAAGAAAAATTTGTCTACAACTGAGAGAAAAGAAATCTATTGAAAAAAGCATCATTCGATATGACAAATTTTGATTCTTTCTCACTAAAGCTCTTTAGAGAAATTTCTTTTCATACTCTGAACAATTTATATTAAAGTTTTCTGTATCGATTTTCTTCCAATATTGTATTATTTTGGTGTCATTTCTTCTTCCTTAGGCATGTTTTAAAATGTTATCTGTCATTTACATATTCACACAATAATATATCATTTTCTTACTTGTCAATTACTATGCCTAATTGCTGCTTATTTTCACAATTATCTAATTAACGATGAACTACACATTCAATACCAATTTCTGCTATCATTCATATTGTTAGCATTCGTTAGATGTGATTGGAAAAAGAGGCAAAAGAACTCAAAGTATACTAATGATGCAATTGTCAAAATCAGAAAGAAATAGAAAATTTAAATTATTTCGAGAAAATAACACTGTGAAAAGGAGGATTCGTGAATTAAATTGAATTGTGAAACATATGATAGATAAAACAGTTGGAAATTTAGTTTGAGAAGTCTAAGAACTAAGAAAACCATTTATCTAATGCTTCTCTGTCATGATAATTTTTCTCCATTCATTATTATTATTTAAATCTTTGACTGTTCCTGCACGGTAACCTCCATAACCATTGAGATGCCAACTCAATCGGTTTTCTGCATTGTCTTTATCTTCCCCATCTGCCGAACTACAGTTTATAGTTGTTGACGATGGAGCAAATCCAAATGATTTCTTCTGTGTTAAATACCAATTAACATTATCATACCTTGTTGGTTTATTTAATGGACTATCCAAAGATAAAATTTCCAATGGTCCCATTGCTGCTATCTTCAATATCATTGATGAGCTTCCTTGTATAGCACCGACAATAATGTGTTTCTTACATTGTGATCTTAATGCTCGTAGTTCTTCGACTGTTGTTACATGACTATATGGAAAATCATAAATGATATTCCAAAAAGAAATCAACGATGATAATTGTACGTCATGAACAATACTAAATGGCAAGCGTGTCAAAAAATCTAAATACATGGTAGCTTCAAGTTTCTGTACATTTTGTTGTAAATTTTCAACTAGTTTTTCTAATGATTCAATTTTCTTATTACTTCGATCCAACATATTCATTAGACAATCTAATTGTTCGTGTTTTTCTTTCTGTTTATAAACTAGATTACATCGTTTACATTCGATTTTGATTTTACCACAATTTTGTTCGTGTTGATCTAAATCTTTTTTTAATATATTCTTTTGACAACCACGACATATCTTCATTTGATATTGACATTGTTCTTGTTGATGTTTTTCAAGTGATTCATATAACAATATATCATTACAACCATTATGTTTGTTTTCACATTCAATTTTAAATTTACATAATAAAGCATAAAACATTGGTGAACAACGTTTTTCTTGATAATGTTGACATAGAGGACAAACATTCGGTTTTTCTTTCAAACATTTATCAATACATATCTTACAAAAGACTCGTTGACAATTTTGACATTCAACTGGTTTTCATAACAAATGAAAACAAATAGGGCAGAGATATTCATCATCAATTTGACTAATATTTATAATACGTTCTTTTGAAATACTCATTAATGACTAATATTAAACTAAAAGTGAAACAAAAAAATTTGTAGAATAAATTTGAAATTAAATATAACAAAAAGTCATCGCTAGTTTTTACCAATACACAGAATATATTCATAAAAATGTAGTTTGACAAGTTCATATTTATATAAATATCCGGTATTATTATGAATTTTCTGTTAGAAAATATCTTAGACGTTCCGATGCTAGCAATCCAAACAATACGAATATCTCACAATACAAAAATTAATCTGTGATGTTGTTTAGAAGAGCCGTGTCAAATAAACACGGTCGTAAATGCCCGTTTTAGATGGGTTTTTCATCGTTTGGTAGGCGCAGCATTACGACTGCATTGCAAACGATTGGATAGTTGATTTTCAGACCGTTTATTCACTGTGTACGACACGATAAAATACGATCATAATACTGCATCCACTACACGTCAATTTACAGCTATTTACGGCCGCTCATTGTATGAAATGACAGTATATAATACCATTTTTGGTCGTCTCAGCGACTGTAATCATTGTCCTAGGAAACGGACCAATTCCAATTTTTGGATTTGGTCGGAATCGAAATTGATTAGGTTTTGGTTGTTATAGAATTATTAATTTTACATATATTTACATAAATTAATAATTTGATTTAAATTTTTTCAAGACAAATTCCAACAAATTTCGATCAATGCCAAGTCAAAACTTGAAATTGGAATCGGTGCATCCCTAATCATCCTGAGAAGACATCGCGTTTATCAATCAACAACACTCTCAGGATAATAGTTCGTTTGTATTTCTTTCCATCGGATAAAATTTCGTATACAAACTAATTACGACTTATTTGTTACGAAAAGAAATAGCTATAATACTTAACACTTATTTTTGTTGACGCAGAAGTAAAACAAACTGTTATTCATTCTATTTTAGATAGAGAAACACACCCATAAAGTTTATCTTTATAATATTCTTATCATCTTTACGATACAAAATTATAGGAAAAAACCTTTTTTCTCATCATGTTAATGGTTTACCGACGAAAAAGAAAAGCGAAAGATAACAATTTTATATTTCCTTTTTTTTTCTTCAGAATAATATTTGAGTCTGTATGACGATTATTTCTTATGTTTATGCTAATTCTTATTGTTAAAAAATGATTTTTTTATCATTATAAAAGAAAAATTTTCGCATTCTATAAATGCTGTTCAATATTGACAATTATCTAAATAAAAACCTATTAATCATTCATATCGTTTATTCTCGAAAATAATAGTATCCGACAAGTTAAAATATTAGTCAATCGAAAGAAAAAATTGACAACGATAATTCAATAGTATTCTGTTACAACAAGAAAAATCAAAAATTATAAATTATAAATTAATTAGCACATAATTTAATAGAAATTTCTTTTTTTTTTTTTTGTAGAAGAAAAAGATCCCAGAGAAAAATTCAATTACTAATTAAAAAACGTACACGCATAATTTTTTAATGAACATAATTTCATTTTGTTATATATAAACACAAACCGGAAGTATATACGAAGAAAACATAATTGTCATGTGTACATATACAAAGATAAATAAATGATTAGAAATAAGTAATCACAGTAGAATGAATAGAAAAAGTGGGGAATAGTAAGAAAAAAAAAAGAAGTAGACTGAGTAGAGAGAAACTTGTAAATTTCCAAAGATGTTGAATATTGTTTGTATGATTAAATGAATTGCACATAATATATCGAAAGATTATTTAAATTTTTATTTGTTCGTTTGATCATATATATATCTGTTGATTAAAGATTGTCAAACGGATTAACAACCTGTTGTTGATTAATCTCAATAGTGTCATAGAATGCTTGAGCAGCAAATGGATTTGTATTAACATTTGTTGTTGGTTGATTATTTATACTATTGAAATTCATTTGCTAAAATAATATATTATTTTAAATGATTCAATATATATGATTCGAACATACTAATGATCCACTAGATACAGCAAAAGGATTATTCATCAAAGATGTAGATGGTGGTTGTTGCCACATAGTACTTGATTGAACAGTCATCTAAACAGGGAAAATTTCTCTAAATTTTATTTTTTAAGTAAAATCACTTACACTATTAAACGGTGTACTCATTGTCGAAGGATTTGGCCATGTTGTTCCAGGTGTATTTGTAGTTCCTGCAGGTAGACCAATTATTTGTTGATTTTTTGCATCATTTTCTGTCCATTGATGATCTTTTCTATTAGAAAATAAATACTCAATTGATAATAATAATAATAATAGAAATTATTTTAAAAAAAAAAATTTTTCGTTTTACCCAATTTTTGTATGATCTTTTATATTAAGATGATCAATTAATTGATTAAGTGATGAATTAATATCACCTGATTGAAATGATTTAGTAACTGTTGGAATCTTTTGATTATTTGTCAGTAATGGAATTGAATTAGTATTTTTATTTGTTGATATCGAAGTTGGTTGAAGAACATCACCAAAAACATGTGCTGAATAATAATATATAAGACAAAAATGTTAATATTTAATAATAAATAAAATTTACTTACGTTTTGATGTCGATGTATCAAGAACATTTTGAAATGCAGGAAATGTATTTATATTTGTTTGAGATGATGGTGTAGCCAATGAAAATATATCATCAGTGAATGATTGTTGTTGAGAAAAGAAATTTGGATTATCAAAGACATTTTCATTTGTCGTTATTGTTGTTTGAGTAGGAACTGGTGGTGGTGGTGATGGTGATGGTGATGGTGGAGATGAAGCTTCTTTTTTCTAAAGATATTATAAATAGTTATTGGCGATATCTGTTTTTTTCCAATAGAATGAAAATTAAAGTATAATTTGAATTGTTATAATTATCATGAATAATTCATAAGAGAAATTCAACAATCAATGTTCTGTAACTTTATGAATAACCTTATTAGCATGAAAATGTGTGATATTTTATTGTTTATTCATCTTCAAAAGATAAGATGAGCTGAGGAAAATTCAATCTTTCAATTTATCATAATTTACAAAAAACTTTCAATCGAATTTCGATAGTCACTTCATTAATATTTTCAATGCAAATGAAAAAATAATGCTAAATTTTTTTTTAAAACAAGTTAAGTATACATACTATATTAAATTTTGCTAATGCTTTCGCTTCTTCTTGAAGAATTTTTTGCGAATCATCATTCACGTGAGCAATAAAGTCATGTGAAAAACTCTTTTTATCTTGTTCTGTTGAATTTCTATATAAAATAAAAACAAACTAAACATATGATATACAAATCTTTTAATTTTACTTTGAGACTAATGATTGTGATGATGGCTTTTTACCTTCGAGATAAGCTAAATGATTTTCCAATGATTCTAAAAGACTATTTGGAGCCTAGAATTGAAAAATAAAATATCTATATTAGTTATTATATTCATCGAGAATTATAGATTAAAATCATAAGCAAACAAATTCTCTAAGATCAGTTTTTTCTCACTTTATTTTTCCCGATATCCTACATATACAAATTCGTATAAATAATACTATTTCATTTCATTCATAATAATTTACCCGAGCTAAATCAGCAATTTCACTACGATCCATGCCAGACGGCTAAAATAAAAATAAACAGAATAATTTTTGTTTTTAAATGAAATATTAAATCATTAAGGTTAACTTCCGTGTATAAAAACTTTTTACATAACATGTCTGGTCGGTGGTCCTTCACTTATAAATCATCGGAGAGAATTAGAATCTCATGCTCTTTCTAACTATGTAAGTTCGAAGTAACAAAGTTTTGAAACATAGTATTTTTGACTTTATTCCTTAATGGCAATAACTAGAACATATAAGAAAAATGGTTTGAGGAACTGAAATATCTTTCTATTAGAAGAAGTACTTGTCACATTTCCATAAATAGGTTTGAGTGAAAAGTCTCTCGTAAAATAAAACTTCCCAAAAACCAGTTTTTTTGGATTTTATCAAGCAACTTCGTTTGATAGAGAAAACATTTCTGAACAAATAGAATGTGGCTGAGCTTTTCACAACCTATCTTCAGCGAACAACAATCATTGTGCAATAGGTTTAAAAGGCTATTTTCTGTTGTTTTACACTTCGAAGCCTTTTGTAGAATGAATACAGTTCGCTGAAGATAGGCCGTAAAGAGATCAACAATATCTTATGGTGTTCATAAATTTTTTTCTCGATCAGATGAACTGTTTTGATAGAATCTAGAAGACTTGTTTTAGGAGTCTTGGCTTTTCAAAGACCTTTCATACAAACCTGTTAACGAGAATTTGATAAATATCTCTTTTGATATGAAAGAAAAATGTTTGCTTCTTTTAGAAAATCGAATACTCTACAGAACTAGAAAGTTAAAATACTAGCTGATTATTGTTAATTCTCTTCGATGAATCAAAATTGATCAGACATATTATACAAAAACATTTTATACGAAGGTTAATTATAATTAAAGCTTTAAAAAAATCGACCATCACACGTCATATAAGCAATATAAAAAAAAAACAAATTTGATAAGCACATATTCATATTACCCCTTCCCAAAAACATCGATCAAATAATTGTTCATAACGCTAATATTGTTTTATTTTGTTTATATTTATTTAATCATAAAATAGATTTGAACTTACTTCACTTATTTTAAAATATTGAGATACTTGATCTGTTCGATCGAGAAATTTTTTATACATATCAAGTGCTTCACGACATTGTTTTTTATTCATATTAAAATATTTTTCTAAATGCAAAAAAAAAAAAGAAAAGAAAACAAATTTTTAATCTGTAAAACGAAATACTAAAATTCATACCAAGTAAATTAATTATTCCTTCATTAAAAGCAGCATATAGATATATAAGATCTTTGATAAGAAGAAAAAAACAACTATATATAACACCATTCGTCAACTGATTAGGTGTAATCTAAAATATCAAAAAAAAAAAAAAAGAATTCTTTCATGGTTTTTGAATTATAAAAAAAACATTTATTTTGATATATCATTCTCAAAATAAAGTAATCTCTAATCTCACATAACATATTTAAACTCTTTAATTTTGAAAAGGCAATTAAAATTTTTTAAACAAAGTATTTTCTATCTTTAGAGAGTATAGATCGTCAACATTGTTGGATTGCTGAGAAAATCAATTTTTTCTATATGATAGCAAAACGCCATTAATATAGATTTGTATTCAGAAGTTTTGACTATCGGAATTTCAATTCTAAATGAAACAAATATCTTAGGAGAAGCTACATGTCAGAGTATTAGAAAATAATACTGAGGACATGTAAGGACCGAACATTGATAAAAATTCGTTTTCAGTATTGAGTATACAATTCGATGTATATTTCTTTGATGATTCTGAATATGATATGTGTTTCATTTGGAACTGAAGTTCTCATAGTCCACATCTGTAAATACAAACTCATATTTATGGCATTTTGCTATTATATCGAAAATATTGGTTTTCTCAACAATTACGCAATTTTTTTCCCTAACTATATGCCAGATAAAATCAAAAACGAAATTTGACTACGGAAACTTGATGCTTTGGCGTGTTTCAATTTTTATCGACTTCTCTCTGATTTTTTTTAATCAAATTTTTATTGACGTATTCTAGTGACTATTATTCTATATGTAGAAGATTATTTTATTAGTAGCTCTTTTGGAAATATTGTGAGAAGTAAATCTTTAACGATTGGAATATAAATAACATGAAATCGTTTCTTCTAATTATCAAGTTCAAGATCGAACAAGGAAGAAAGATACTGGAAAAAGAATGTCCCGTTATATATTTATTTATGTTTTAATTAGAGTTCGGTAGTTTCAGAAAAATTGGAACCATTAAACTATCAAATAGATGCAAAAATTCTTAAAATATTAAAATATGTGTGCCGTCTTTAATCTCAATAATTCAATAGTGAAAATTTTCGTTTCAATCTGATGATTTAACAGTTTCAGTTCCACGTCATATTTTAGTAACAGAACCGAAACTATCAAACTCTAGTTCTAATTCAACTTTCAATAGACTTACATCAAAATGAAGTATAGCATCAATTTGTTTTTGAAGCAAAGGTAAAGCTTTAAATAACTAAAAAGATTACAGAAAAAAATAACCAAATAGAATTTTTTTCTAATATAATCATTACTTCATACCTTGTCAATAGGCATTGTTCGAAGAAGTCCATCATCTTTTCTTTAAAATAAAATAAACAAACATACGTTGTTTTGTTTTTGTTTTTATATTGAAGATAAAATCTGTTACAAACCCTCGTTTTATTTTACAAAAATCATAACCCATTAATTTATAAGCTTCACGTTTTTCATTTAAATAATCAGCATATCGACGAATATACATTAACATATCACTACTAGGTATTCCTATACGATCAATCATAACAGCTGGTTGTAAATTATAATAATGTGATGCCATATAAGCTTCAAAACGCTAAGAAAATTCGAAAGAAAAAAAAAGAATTTTTTTTTGCTTAGTAAAATAATATTTTTGAAACAAAAAAGATTTTTTGTTTTTTTACTTCATTTCCATATGACATTAAATGATGAATTGTAATTAATGATTTAAATGAAACAACCCATGAAGAATTTTGTGAACGTTCAATTAAAAGATCAGCAGTTTCAGGAATTGAAACATTCATTTCATGTGTTGCTTGTAAAAGAACTTTAAAAATTAGAAAAAAAAAAAAAAAAAAAATTATTTTTATTTCAATATACATATATTTCAACTTACAATCAAGATGTTTTCGTTTGGGTCCCATAATTTCTTCTGTTGTTGCTTTACATACAACTTTAGCTACAAGTTGTCCAGATATTGTATTTTTTGCAGCTAAAAGTCGATCGACAATACTTTGTCCACCTTGTTGCATAGTTGTATTTTTTCTTTCTAGAATAAAGAAATGAAATAAATCTTCATCATCATCATGTATCGTTTAACCAGTAGTAAAAAAAAAGAATAATTCCTTTTAAGGTATTTTATTTGCTTTTAACAAATGGCGACATATATTACATGTATATGATTGGTTTTATACAAGAAATAGAATAAAATCTGGATTATGAAATTCAAATATTCCATTGAAAAATTTAATTTGTTTATTTAAATTTATTTTTGATCAATTAGTTATCAATCATAAATGTATATTCTAAACTAAGCCTCCTCATAAAAATTAATTAATTTTCGTGAGAAAAATCGATATTAAGATAAATGGCATGGGAGTATAATCAGAAGTCTAATCTTTTATAAGCAATAGGATTGTTAATTTCGTACTTCCTCAAAACTTTTGAATATTACTGCTGTGTTGGTATTCTAGTAAGTCTAGGACGCGGGTGTTCATATTTATAGCTATATCCACTGACAACTATGCACCCATATCTACATCTAGAGCCAATCGGGTCTGGGTTTAAAAATTTCTACCGATTAGCCCAGGATCGGACGAACACTTTGACGCATATAAATAGTAATACATATTGAATTTTTCTCCATCTCATTCAAAAAATCTTTAATTTATTCATCAAAAAAATAAAATAAAATAAAAACAAAACTCAACAAAATTCTTCTTGACTAGAGTATCTAAACCTAGTTATCATCAGATTCAGGTCCAAAACAAATTTAATCAGTCGGATCTGGATCCAGAATTTCTTGAATCCGATGAGTTCTACCTACACTCCACACTCTTATGTTTGTGCAAATAACGAGAAAATTTTGTTATTTCTATTTCTTCGTATTTTTTTATCAACTGCAGTATAAATATGCATTTTTCATCTCGTGCGCATCTTTTGTAGACACAATTTCATGCGTAGCTTATCTTAATCCATTTTCTTTACACAGACCGAGTCTAGAGTACTGCTTGGCATTACAAAAATTTTTTAGTCACGGTCACAACCTGTGACTATTGCGGCCTTGGTCATGAGTCACGAAAATTTTCTCTGGTTTGTTACGACCTCTCTCATCAACGAGTTATTTGTTAACGAAGGTTATAAATATTATCGGTTCGAAACAGCGAGGTAGTCATGAAGAATGGTGCAGGGGTGTGTATCTCCCATTTTTTTAAAGGAAATTTGCAGTTTTTTCCAGATAAAATCGTATTTTTGATTAAAAAAATGATCCATCTCCTGTTCACTTTTAAAAAATTGTATATGAACATTTTCAACTCTTGACAAATTTCTTAAACATCTTTACTAGAGAATCATTGAAATGACAAGGAAAGTTATTTGTGAAATGAAACTCATTCGAGATGGATGAATTCTATTGATACTAGAAAAAGTCCAAGATGGTTGATGGCCATAAATCTGTCGGTTCGAGATGTAGTAATTTTATTAGTTTGTATGCTCTTTGCAAAATATTTAAAGAAATATCGAAGGGAAATATTAAAGCTTGGGTTTCTTTTCATCAAATATCTTATAATTCTTTTAATACATAAAAACTTGTAGGTAAAATAGATCCTATCTCTTTATCGTTCTTTTTCATTCATGGATGTGAGTGTGCTTGTACTTGTAATTATATTCTAGTCACACCCACATCCAAAACTGTCGCATTAAAATTGGTTATGTAACAGTTGTTATCATTAAAAGTTCAATGATCTTTGTCTCTTAATACTTTGATAGATATTTCGAGCACAGCTAGAATTAAACAATAATTTGATTGAAATAATATAATTATGGATATAACAACAACAGAGCATTCAAGATACACGATGTATCTAAAGTTATAAATAAAAAGAGAGATAAATATGAGATTGGAACTGATAAGCGAGATGCAAGTGATCAATATTGGATCACTGAATACGATAAATATCACTATCAAATTGATAATTGATAATAGATTCAGCAATACTCATAAATATTGTGATGCTTTCTCTTGTTTAATCAGACGTTGTTGATTATCTATCATTTTACTTATATCATCGATGCTGAAATATCAATTGACACATTGAAAGCACCAATTCTCTATCTTCATTTATTTTTTAAAGAACTTTGACAACTTTAATTCCACTAAATTGATTTGATGTTTGCGTCTCATCATCATGGATGATTGGCCAACTATGATATATACTAAATGAAATAAAAAAAGATACATAATATCAATGACCATGCTTATGAAAAGTAACGAATATATATTGTTCATATGACGAAGGTACGAAACTGATGGCGTCCAAAATAAATGGTACTTTCATACTAATGTATAGACAAATTTATCTATATAAGTAACAACAAATTCGCAATCAATCATACGTTCAGTACATGTTTGTATTAGCATAGTTGATATCATAAATATGGTCAAATAATAAAAACAATACAAAAGAAAATTTTACACCAGTATGTCTTATTCAATGAACATTATATATATCGTTCGGAGAAAAGAAAGAGATGAAGGAGAACAGTACAGTGGTTGTTTAAATCCTCTTTAACAATTCTTGACACTATTTATAATATCTAACTAGTTTTGACCATATTCTTACATCAGTGTTTAAGCAGATGGTTAGTTTCAAGAGCTCATACTACAACATACATACACTTATGAAAAAGTGAGTTCTCATTAAAAGAAAACAATTCATCAGAAGGTAAACCCAGTTTAGAAAAAGTTGATTCGTATTTAAATTAAAGATCAACTCTTTTTTGAAAAATTTTGATTTTAGATACTACTGTAGAGAATTTTAGCAAAACCAAAAAATTATTTATATTGTACAAGATGTAATCACATCGTTTTGTATTGCACTTGAAATCTATGTTTACTAGCATTTAGTATGAATAAATGACATCAAAATATATCATGAGTATGATATTTACACGGAGAAAAAAAGCAAACTAAGTTTTGAACATCATTATTACATACTCATCAATATTCATGAAATATTACTTGATAATTTCATAAACTTTGACAACAAAACAAAGAATTCAAATAAAATCTTATTTTTGTTTTTTTACTACTTTGAGTGACGAAATTCAATGTCTCTGAGAGTATGAAATTTCCAGCGCCCTCTGAAATGCAACGTTTGCTATTGATTCGCTGAGTCACTCCTATCTCCTATTGCTAGTTATGCACTCAACTTTTTTTCTTTTCTGTTTCATTCTGGTTTCTTTTATTTGTTATTGGTAACTATGTGTCATCATTATTGTATCTGAAATCTTCTGTCGTCATCTCGAATGTTCGACTGCTGATTCATTTTCATACAACATACAATATAAAAACAGCAATTTCTTTCACATTACTTCATTCATTTTTACTAAACATATATTTGTTTCTTCTTATTGTCTACTTGCTATTACACAATAATAATGCAAATCTTTGTAAAAACTCTTACCGGAAAAACTATTACACTCGAAGTCGAACCAAGTGATACCATCGAAAATGTGAAGGCAAAAATTCAAGACAAAGAAGGAATTCCACCTGATCAACAACGTCTTATCTTTGCTGGTAAACAACTTGAAGATGGTCGAACACTCAGCGATTACAACATTCAAAAAGAAAGTACACTTCATCTCGTTCTTCGATTACGTGGTGGTATGCAAATTTTTGTTAAAACACTTACCGGCAAGACAATAACACTCGAAGTCGAACCAAGTGACACAATCGAAAATGTTAAAGCTAAGATTCAAGACAAGGAAGGTATTCCACCTGATCAACAACGACTTATCTTCGCCGGTAAACAACTCGAAGATGGTCGCACATTGAGCGATTACAACATCCAAAAAGAAAGTACACTTCACCTCGTTCTTCGATTACGTGGTGGTATGCAAATCTTTGTTAAAACACTCACTGGCAAAACAATAACACTCGAAGTTGAACCAAGTGATACCATCGAAAATGTTAAAGCAAAAATCCAAGATAAAGAAGGAATTCCACCTGATCAACAACGTCTCATCTTTGCTGGCAAACAACTTGAAGATGGTCGAACACTTAGCGACTATAATATTCAAAAAGAAAGTACACTTCACTTAGTTCTTCGATTACGTGGTGGTATGCAAATATTCGTCAAAACTCTCACCGGCAAAACTATAACACTCGAAGTTGAACCAAGTGACACTATCGAAAATGTGAAAGCAAAAATCCAAGACAAAGAAGGAATTCCACCTGATCAACAACGTCTCATCTTTGCCGGTAAACAACTTGAAGATGGTAGAACACTCAGCGATTACAACATTCAAAAAGAAAGTACGCTCCATCTTGTACTTCGACTTCGAGGTGGTGATAATCAATAAAATACGTTTTTAGGGTATCCAGGTCATTAGATTGCTTTGAATCTTTTTCTTTTTTGTTGTTCAAGTTAAATCAGATATTTGAATTAATGTATAATTCGGTTTTTTCTTTATTTTTAATATTCACTCAGTGCATTAATTTGATCTGTTTGTTCAATAATAAATGTACCTAATGTTGATATATGAATCTTGACTCTATTGATGAATGAAAAAAGCAAAAATTTATTCTTATGAAGTGTTGAGAAATATTTTCAAAATTCTAAAAGAGTAAATTTTCAAATTTATGAAAATTTCTGATACAATGAAAGAAGCTATGAAAGAGAGAGATACAGAAATTTAGAGGTAGCTTTGAAAATTTCATAGAATTTATCGAAACCTATCATAAAACAATAGTTAATTAACAAGGAATTACGAAATTTCTTCAAATACTAATAAGAAATTTCTGATTGAATTCTGAAATTATTTAGCCACTAACAAGCTAGTTCAATCTACTTCCATATGAGACAGAAGATCCTATCCTCCAAAATATTAGTCATTTTAGTAATTACTAGGAAATTGCAAAAGATTCAAGGATTACGAAATATTTTTCTTATGTACATGTCAATGTACTTTATGGTAGAGAAGAAGATGGTACCTTTTTCAAGTGTAGGATTGTTTCCAAAATAGGTTACTAATTTTCAAAATTACAAATATCTTGGAGAGTGGGGTCTCGTTCACGGTAAGAAAATATATTGGTATTTATTGAGAATATGTGTATGATAATTTCTGTATCTACTGAAGTTTATTGACAATATTACAGTAGTTACTGAAATTAAGTCTATACTTTGCGTGAACTTTTTCGTGACGCATTGTGTTTGTCGAAGTTTCTTAATATTATCCTTTTTCAGATGTTTTAAATCTTCTGAAAAAGGTTGAAAATTTATTTCTTTTTTTGAGAATTGTTTATTGTCAAAATAATCTCGAAGTGATTCAGTGATATATGATGAACTTCGGAATTTTCCTAGAAATTTTCTTATGTTGTAGAGGTAAACACCGAAAGGATAGGTGTACTTAATTTTTTCTCAGAAAGAAATATTAAAATTACTAAGCTTCGTGGCACTTGAGTTGATGATTCTAACCATGTATAAATGTTGTCGCAAAGTCTTAAAATCAGAGCACTTATGCTCCTTACAAGTTTGATCACCATGATAAGATTTCTTGATGTTGTGAGGCAAGAAGACAGATGCTTCTTCTGAGATGGAGTCACAAGCCAATGAACTCAGTCAGAGTGTGGTCAATACAGTATGGGTTGAGCTGGATTTCCATATCAAAACACGAAAATAAATAATATTTCATTGAGCTGAGAAAGAACGTTTGAGTAATCCTAATCGATAGGTTTATGATCACTAATCGATTTTGAAAGCCTTATATCTCAGAAAATAAAAATGAGCGAATCGTCAAAGTTGATCTATACGTATTTCAAATTGTTCAAACAACTTTTATTTTCGTCGAAAAACTCATCTCTGCTCTCCCTTAGGATTCTGTCAAAAAATAAAGTCAAATCAAAATCTCATTTGAACGGTTAAAAACAAGTTCTGATCTTATAAAATGATAAAAGAACACAAAAAACCAGATGAGAATGCATAAAAAATAGAGTTATAATTCACCACATTTTTTGGCGCAATCTTGACGAGAACCACGGGCAAATTTTTTGACAAAAATAAAAGTTATTTGAACAATTTGAAACACATATTGATCAACTCTGACAATATGTTTATTTTTATTTTCTGAGATATAAGAATCTCATGATCGATTAGTGACTGTTGATCTATCGATTAGGTCTGCTAAAACATTATTGCTGGCTCATTCTCGTCTCAATCAAAGATCATTTATTTCATGTTTTGGTACTAAAACCCAGCTCAAGTCATTCTCTATTAATCACATTATGAATGATCTCATTCACTTGAGACTTCAACTCAGCAGAAGTATGTGTGTTCTTAGCTTACAACACGGAGAACTCTTATGATAATCACTAAGCTTGTAAGGGATATAAGTACTCCTGTTTTTAGACTTCGTGACAACATTCATAGATGGTTAGAGTCATCAGCTCAAGCACTACAAAACCTAGCCATTTTTATATTTCTTTCTTAAAAATTTACTTCTGCTGTCTTGATAACTTGAGGAAATTTCCTGGAAACCTGAGTATTTTCCAACCGACAATTTCAATTTTTTTTAACGAAAATTATGATAACTTTCGAGCTTTTTTGTTGATATATTTTTCTGTGTGAGCAAGCTTTAAAATTTGACTTTCTTATGAGAGTAATTTGGTTTTTCTTGCAAGTTTGAACACTACTATAAAATATATAAATAGATTTACTTCAGACACTCTGATATCTTAGACAAATCATGCAATGCATCAGACATGATGCAATTTTTGTTTTGAAATATATTTATTAATGATGAAACGATCAATTTGTTTTTTTACGACGTTTATAGTTATATATCTAACATTAATAGGTCTTCAAAAGTACACAACAGTGAAATAAAAGATTCGCTTTCGAGGTCTCAGCTTTTACTATGAAAATATTAGATCTTTGAAAGTTTTGATTACCAATGAATTTTTGATAGAACAATCATATTGAATTATGTCAAAATTCAACATATTTTCTTGATCGAGACCTCGATGACTTCTTTTTTTTTCTTTCAAAACTAAAATATCAACTGCATAGAATTGGATTCAACAAGCATATTAGAATATTACAGGTGTTAGAGCAAACCATTAGTGTTCTCACACAAGAAGGCTTAAAATCTCACTTCCATAGTTCTTTTTTAATAAATGTATAAGTGCATTGTTTCTAAATGACAATGTGTTGACAAAGCTACACTCGAAACCAGTATTCGATGGTTTGTCTCAGCGGTGAGCAAAAATCTTTTGCATTGCACCTTGACTATGGGCGTGGTTCAAAGAAATGTCCATCCTTACACTCACATCCACATCCAATAGAAGTTCTTTATTAAAATCAGGTAAATCATCATTGTTCTCATAAATATTTTCACAGCGATCTTTTTTTTATGAAAATCGCAAAAATGTTGATGTCGATAATTGAAATTTTCGGAAGTTTTATTAAGAAATAAGTAGGATCAATTGAAATTTTAAAAAAAACAGATAACCGAAAAATCAGCCAAATCTCTCAATGATAAATATTGGTTGGTATTATCTATATTTTTAGCCAAGATATTTTCTAATTAGTTGTCCATCTACAAACAATAAATATCCTAAAAATACTCTATCGAAAAGAAGGATGTGGGTGTGAATGTGAATGTGGCGGTTGACCTTCTTTTTATCTACATCCACACCCACACCCTCGGTTTTCATCGGAGTCCAACAAGATTCGATGAAATCTAGATCGGAATCCTGGCCATTGGTAGTAGCGGCGTCAGGATTTTTTGCCACGGTGGGCTAAGTCGACCCAGTTTTTTACGAAAAACAGATGGCAAAAAAAGTATTATCTCTTTAAGTTTACCTTCACAAAAAAAAGTTAAGCGAAAATTACTCTTGAGCAATGGTAGAAATGTAACGCTGTTATTTAACGAGTAATTTTGGAGTGAAGGCGAAGGAACGATCATTCCTTCTTGAAAAATTTTTCTCAATTTTTTACAACATAATCGAGAAAAACTTAGCTTTAATGTTATCCCATATGAGGTTCGAAAACTCCATTTCGTGTATGACCGCTCTCCCGCATCAGGTATCTCTCCTTTCTCCTCTTTTCAACAGTTCAGATCCTTCATTAATATGGTTATTTACAGCAACTAATTACGTTTTTCTTTTCTGAAGTCTGGAATTAAAAGATTTCCTTAGAACATCTAAGGGACTGAGTTTTCTGTTTTCACAAAATGGCAGTTAAAAAAAGCATAGTCGACTCATGAATTTCTATTTCTTTGGTTGATTAGGTAGTATTGTCTTTTACCTTCTGTCAAACATAATTGGAAACTAACATCGTCAACATGACAAACCTTATCGACCAAAATACTAAAGAGAGTTGTCAAATTGGAGTTGAAAATAGTTTCTAATTTAAATAATTGGAAGACAAAGCCAAATACATTTATGGAGGATGCAAATCTGTCACATCGCACAAAGTGTTTCGAAAGCTCTATTTGAATTTTTGAAGGGTTACGAAGTCTGACAATTCTGCACTATACCAATTCGAAGCAACAGAATTTTTGACCATTGAGCTGCAACAAAAAAGTCGAGGTTTAGCTCCAGCGAAGAAAAGATCAATTTTTCTATTTAGGAATATTCCTAACAATATATAATTTTTTCAGATACTATAAAAATAGTGAAAGGCTTTTGTATGACGTAACCTATATCGACTCAATATGAATTTACTAATCACCTGTACAGTTCAAAGATTAAAAGGTCCTTTGAGAACTTAATTAGAAAGACGATTGTTACACGTTGGTTTTCAACTATAATATTTCATTAAACTTTACGTAGAACATGATTCTTCTTCAAAGAACTAATGACAACACTATTGTTCTTCGAGATATTTTCATTTAGATAACATTCGGATATGCAACTGACATCAACAAACTTTCTTTGAAAATTGAAGAGCATTAGGAACAATTTAGAATTAAATATCGATTTAATTACAAAAAGACATTTTACATTGCGTTACATTTCGTTTATGTAATTGAAACATCATCTTAAAAATATCAATACCAAATACTTTCCAAGATGGACTCAAACAAGTTTCGAGTGGGCTGAGTCCACCACACCGCGACCCCGGGCCCGCCGCTAGTCATTGAATTTTTTGACCTCGATTGTTTTGAGCTTCTGCTTCCAGAAAACTAGACGATGATGATTTGGAGGCAATGAAACTTCTCCGATTTCGACTGCACGCTTTTGATATTGAACTGCTGCTGAATATTTTCCCATTCTAAAATGAACCCAAGCAATGTTATTGTAAGAATCAGCTAATTTCGACTGATTTGGATGTTGCATTTGTTGTCGAATCTCACGACCT